GATAAGGAGGATGGATCAACCAATAATTGAGATTTAACCATTTAGACTTTATTTATGGAATCAAATCTTGAAATTCTTAAGTCTTTGAATAATCTATTATGATAATCAACAAATACTTTGATATCAAATTTTGAGAAAAATTGATGTGTAACTTAAAGGATTAAAAAAATTATTATTTTGAAAATTAATAACGAAAATAATAGAGTTATTGTTTTTAGTTGCTCTTAATTTATCTTTTAAGCAAGTTAAGTATAATAATTATTAAACAATTCGAGAATAATACAATTCCCCTCTTTTAAAGAAATCATCTATAAGAAAGTAGTAATTATATTTAATATTTTTAGTCTCCAATAATATGACTACTCAACTTCTATCCTAATATACAATTGCTAAACAGAAGGAGTTTTAGTTCAATTATCAAGGTGCCGAATTATGAAAATGATTAAGTTCAAAAGGAAGTTGTTCATAAAAGATTATCGAGTCCTAATTATACCATTAAAAGTTTAGAATTACTTGAAAACAAATATTAACGGTTAAATTATTAAAATAAAATAAATAAATTGTTGTTTTACTAAGTTAAGATCAACTTATTAATTTTTTGTTTGGGGTTTGAGATGTAGATTCAAAAGCAATGTGACTAACCAATAAAGAACAAAGCTTGAATTTTTCCTGAATTAATACTAATTCGTTGAAGTCAAAAAAGAAATATCCATTGACTTCACCCTTTTTGGCTAATCAGCAGATTTGCTTTAAATATCACATAAATTAAATATTTACTTTTTTTTGCTTTCACAACAAAAAAAATCATGATTTATCGAAAATTTTTTTATTTTAACAAATTTGGATTTTTTTAAAATTAGAATAAGAATTATTTATATATATAAAAAAAATGAGTAAACATAAAAATGTACATATCATACATCAATTTGTAAAGGGTACAATTATAAGAGTAATGGTGAAGGTATAAATGTTATATCAATTTTAATTATCAAGGAAATGGAGAAAATTTTCTCATATCCAAAATTTCATTATATGTATAACAACTCATTCTTAATTAGAATTTGTTAAGCATTTTTAGGCCTCCGAAATCATGTTCAATACAATATCATTAAAGAATTGTATAAAAACTAGGCTTTCTGTCCAGCAATTGAAATTAGATATAGAGGAAAAAAGAAAGGGGAAATAAAAGCAAAGGCAGATGTCTCACTACGTTTGCTCTTTAATCCTGCTTTTTGGGAGCTCTTCTATTGTAGAATATTTATCTTTATATTAGTCATATCTATTTAACTACAATCTTCTAAACTATCTAGTTACTACAAACATAATTCTAATTTATTAATATATTAATTATATTTAATTTGAGCTCTAAGCAACAGATATTTAATTATTTTGATAAAAAGGATAATAATAATCAGAAATATTAGAATTCTGCATTAAAAGAAAAATACTCAAATTAAGAAAAAAAAATTGAATTATGCCTCTTTAATTAAGAAAGAGAGGCATGCTCATCAATTAATTAGCTCTTCGTGATTCATATATAGACCCTAAGAATAAAAATTAAATTAAATATATAATGGGAGATATTTGGTTAAAAGAACCTCAAATATATTTCTGCAAAAATACAAATTTTATGTTTATTCATCAGAACTTTGATATTTAACCAAATTCGAATACCCTAAATTTTACAAATTATTTTATAAAAAAAATTTGGATACATCTCAAAAATGAGCAACAACAGTTCAAAGGAAAACTAGAATGCAGGTGCATTAGCGCATTATAGAAGAAGCTAGGTACTATTATTAAATGGAATCATTGTTAGGAGTTTATAATTACTTATAGAACTGAAGAAGCATTATTAGAAATTAATAATGCCTTAAATCTTTGTCCTCAATTTGCCGAAGCCTACACTTTAAGAAGTTAAATGTTTTAAATATCAATTTAGGTGAATTATATGAAAAAATGAAATTATATGACAAAGCATTGGAAGATGTAAATTAGAGCTTATCCATAAACATTAATAATGCTGAAAGTTATTATTAAAGAGGTATTGTTTTAGATCTTATAATGTAAGGAACAATTTATTGGAGAAAATAATTATTTGATCTCGCATTATAAGATTGTATGAAGTGTGTTTAGATTAATCCAAACTTTGCAATGGGTTATAGTAGAATGGGTAATAAAATAAACTTTATTTTAGGCACTATTATGAGCGATTTGAAATAAAAGGATTATGAACTCTAATTTTAAAATTAGGCTATAGAAAAAGATGGAAATTGTTATTATGCATTTATGTGTAGAGGTAATATAAAATTTATATTTAAAGGTTTGTATTATTAGGATGAACAAATGATTGATTTGGCACTTAAAGATTACAATAAAGCAATCCAAATCAATCCTAACTATAGTTTGGCCTATATAAACAGAGGTGAATACTATTACACTTAATATATTAGGCGTTTTATATAAAGATATTGGTGACAATGATAAAGCATTAAATGACTATAATCAAGCAATCCAACTTGATCCTAAAAATGTTAATGCCTATAATAACAGAGGTGAATACTATTACAATTAATATATTAGGCGTTTTATATAAATATATTGGTGACAATGATAAAGCATTAAATGACTCTAATTAAGCAATCCAACTTGATCCTAAAAATGCAGGTTACTATAATAACAGAGGTTAATACTATTACACTTAATATATTAGGCAATTTATTTTCTGATATTGGTGACAAAGATAAAGCCTTAAATGACTATAATTAAGCAATCCAACTTGATCCTAAATATGTTAATGCCTATAATAACAGAGGTTAAGACTATTATACTTAATATATTAGGCAATTTATATAAAAATATTGGTGACTAAGATAAAGCCTTAAATGACTATAATTAAGCAATCCAACTTGAACCTAATCATGCATCAACCTATTATAACAGAGGTTAATACTATTATACTTAATATATTAGGCAGTTTATATTCTGATATTGGTGACAAAGATAAAGCCTTAAATGACTATAATTAAGCAATCCAACTTGATCCTAAATATGTTAATGCCTATAATAACAGAGGTGAATACTATTACACTTAATATATTAGGCAATTTATTTTCTGATATTGGTGACAAAGATAAAGCCTTAAATGACTATAATTAAGCAATCCAACTTGATCCTAATGATGCATCAATCTATAATAACAGAGGTGAATACTAATACACTTAATATATTAGGCAATTTATATAAAAATATTGGTGACAATGATAAAGCATTAAATGACTATAATCAAGCAATCCAACTTGATCATAAATTTGTTAATGCCTATCATAACAGAGGTGAATACTATTACACTTACTATATTAGGCAGTTTATATTCTGATATTGGTGACAAAGATAAAGCCTTAAATGACTATAATTAAGCAATCCAACTTGATCCTAATCATGCATCAACCTATAATAACAGAGGTGAATACTATTACACTTAATATATTAGGCAATTTATGTAAAAATATTGGTGACAATGATAAAGCATTAAATGACTATAATCAAGCAATCCAACTTGATCCTAAAAATGTTAATGCCTATTATAACAGAGGTTAATACTATTATACTTAATATATTAGGCAGTTTATATTCTGATATTGGTGACAAAGATAAAGCCTTAAATGACTATAATTAAGCAATCCAACTTGATCCTAAATATGTTAATGCCTATAATAACAGAGGTGAATACTATTACACTTAATATATTAGGCAATTTATATTCAGATATTGGTGACAAAGATAAAGCCTTAAATGACTATAATTAAGCGATCCAACTTGATCCTAATCATGCATCAACCTATAATAACAGAGGTGAATACTATTATACTTAATATATTAGGCAGTTTATATTCTGATAGTGGTGACAAAGATAAAGCCTTAAATGACTATAATTAAGCAATCCAACTTGATCCTAATGATGCATCAATCTATAATAACAGAGATGAATACTAATACACTTAATATATTAGGCAATTTATATAAAAATATTGGTGACAATGATAAAGCATTAAATGACTATAATTAAGCAATCCAACTTGATCCTAATGATGCATCAACCTATAATAACAGAGGTGAATACTATTACACTTAATATATTAGGCAATTTATATAAAAATATTGGTGACAATGATAAAGCATTAAATGACTATAATCAAGCAATCCAACTTGATCCTAAAGTTGCAAGTTACTATAATAGCAGAGGTGAATACTATTACACTTAATATATTAGGCAGTTTATATTCTGATATTGGTGACAAAGATAAAGCCTTAAATGACTATAATTAAGCAATCCAACTTGATCCTAATGATGCATCAATCTATAATAACAGAGGTGAATACTAATACACTTAATATATTAGGCAATTTATATAAAAATATTGGTGACAATGATAAAGCATTAAATGACTATAATTAAGCAATCCAACTTGATCCTAAAGTTGCAAGTTACTATAATAGCAGAGGTGAATACTATTACAATTAATATGTTAGGCGTTTTATATAAAGATATTGGTGACAAAGATAAAGCCTTAAATGACTATAATTAAGCAATCCAACTTAATCCTAAATATGTTAATGCCTATAATAACAGAGGTGAATACTATTACACTTAATATATTAGGCAATTTATATAAAAATATTGGTGACAATGATAAAGCCTTAAATGACTATAATTAAGCAATCCAACTTGATCCTAATGATGCATCAAACTATAATAACAGAGGTGAATACTATTACACTTAATATATTAGGCAATTTATATAACAATATTGGTGACAAAAATAAAGCATTTAGTGACTATTAACAAGGATTATCTCTATCTCCTAATCATCCATTATTATTGTGCAATTTAGGTGATTATTATTACATTCTTTCTGACCATACTCAAGAAGCTTTTGAATGTTATCAAAAGGCCATAAATTCTTTTTAGAGTTTAAAATAATCAGAAATTGCGAAATTGAGTTTAACTCAAGGAAACATTGAATTTATAATAACTAAGATTGACATCCTTAAACAATTAGAATAAGAAATTGAGAAATCTAAATAACTTTTATAGAAACTACCAACTGAAACACCATAAGAATAATAGAATAAACAAAATTATAGTATAAAAATAGAATAATTTCAAAATGAAATCAAACCTATTCTTACAATCCCAATTAATCAATCGCTAAAGCTTGAAAACTAATAAGTTTAAAATGAATAACTGAATTAAATATTGTAATATGTTAAGCAGTTAAACTAAAAGATATTACAATAAGATAAAGTAATTTCAAAAATATAAGAAGAAAATGCAGATTTAAAAATAAAAGTAAATTAATTAGAGTAGCNCTATAATAACAGAGGTGAATACTATTACACTTAATATATTAGGCAATTTATATAACAATATTGGTGACAAAAATAAAGCATTTAGTGACTATTAACAAGGATTATCTCTATCTCCTAATCATCCATTATTATTGTGCAATTTAGGTGATTATTATTACATTCTTTCTGACCATACTCAAGAAGCTTTTGAATGTTATCAAAAGGCCATAAATTCTTTTTAGAGTTTAAAATAATCAGAAATTGCGAAATTGAGTTTAACTCAAGGAAACATTGAATTTATAATAACTAAGATTGACATCCTTAAACAATTAGAATAAGAAATTGAGAAATCTAAATAACTTTTATAGAAACTACCAACTGAAACACCATAAGAATAATAGAATAAACAAAATTATAGTATAAAAATAGAATAATTTCAAAATGAAATCAAACCTATTCTTACAATCCCAATTAATCAATCGCTAAAGCTTGAAAACTAATAAGTTTAAAATGAATAACTGAATTAAATATTGTAATATGTTAAGCAGTTAAACTAAAAGATATTACAATAAGATAAAGTAATTTCAAAAATATAAGAAGAAAATGCAGATTTAAAAATAAAAGTAAATTAATTAGAGTAGCAAGATAGAAATTAAATTGAATTATTATTAAACGATCTTAATAAACCAGAAAATTAGTATTAAAAAACTTATTACTAATCTTTATTTTGGAGACTTTACAACTACTTACAAGCAGTGTAGTAAATTTCAACAGACTTATTTTAAATAAACTAAAATGCAGTTATTGAAACAAACTCAGAAAAGGTTTTAAATATAGTACAAAAAATTACAAACATTGGATCAGTTGCACTTTCACCAATACCAATTATTGGAGATGCTTTCCAAATTATAAATTCTGCCCTTGATTATGCAATCGATGAAAAGAATGTGAATAAATTTAATAAAAGAGTAAGAATTCTAAGCGAAATATTAATATTATTTGCAGTAAATCCATAAAAATTAGAAATTGAAGTGCAAATGGCAGCAATATCTTTAGGAAAATAACAATAGGTTAATATGCAAAAAAGAAAAGAAACAATTTTTAAAAATAGAGTGAACGATTTATTAGCAAAAGAAAGCAGTTCTTCAGAATTATTTAAGAATATTTACTGGGTTTGTGGAACAGAAGATGCATTAATCATTTTAAGCTATTTAGAAAAAAACTAAGAAAAAATATTAAAGGAATAACAGAAAAAATTAAGGGAGATATTTGAAGATGCAGTTAAATCATATTAGTATTTACCTTAAAAAATATCTGTGGATATCGGTTGTTCTTCAACATGTTAGATGATTTGATATAATTCATTCAAAATACAGCAAAAAATTAATTTTATCCTAATCATCAATTTGATTATATCTTTTATTAATATTATTCAATTGTTTAAAAAATTCTATTTTTAATAATATAACAAGTATTCAAAGTTTTTTTGAATGCTGACTATTGGTTCCAAAAATATCTGACTAAATTGAGATACCATTTAAGCATTTTAGATTTGAAACTTGTTATATAAGTAGAATAAACTTAGTATAGATAAAAAGCTATTTGGTAAAAGATTATTGTTTTAATTTAAATTGAATATTTTTATTTGATATAGATCAAAATTGAAACGGACTAATCAGATAATTAACAGAAAAGAAGAACATTTTTTTTTAAGGATGAAAGTAATTTCTAAATATATAAGGTTATAGAATCTTATTTATAAGAGAAACAAGAAAAAAATAATTTTTACCTAATTATTTTTATTTTAAATTTGACAATAAGATAAGGAGGATGGATCAACCAATAATTGAGATTTAACCATTTAGACTTTATTTATGGAATCAAATCTTGAAATTCTTAAGTCTTTGAATAATCTATTATGATAATCAACAAATACTTTGATATCAAATTTTGAGAAAAATTGATGTGTAACTTAAAGGATTAAAAAAATTATTATTTTGAAAATTAATAACGAAAATAATAGAGTTATTGTTTTTAGTTGCTCTTAATTTATCTTTTAAGCAAGTTAAGTATAATAATTATTAAACAATTCGAGAATAATACAATTCCCCTCTTTTAAAGAAATCATCTATAAGAAAGTAGTAATTATATTTAATATTTTTAGTCTCCAATAATATGACTACTCAACTTCTATCCTAATATACAATTGCTAAACAGAAGGAGTTTTAGTTCAATTATCAAGGTGCCGAATTATGAAAATGATTAAGTTCAAAAGGAAGTTGTTCATAAAAGATTATCGAGTCCTAATTATACCATTAAAAGTTTAGAATTACTTGAAAACAAATATTAACGGTTAAATTATTAAAATAAAATAAATAAATTGTTGTTTTACTAAGTTAAGATCAACTTATTAATTTTTTGTTTGGGGTTTGAGATGTAGATTCAAAAGCAATGTGACTAACCAATAAAGAACAAAGCTTGAATTTTTCCTGAATTAATACTAATTCGTTGAAGTCAAAAAAGAAATATCCATTGACTTCACCCTTTTTGGCTAATCAGCAGATTTGCTTTAAATATCACATAAATTAAATATTTACTTTTTTTTGCTTTCACAACAAAAAAAATCATGATTTATCGAAAATTTTTTTATTTTAACAAATTTGGATTTTTTTAAAATTAGAATAAGAATTANGAATAACTGAATTAAATATTGTAATATGTTAAGCAGTTAAACTAAAAGATATTACAATAAGATAAAGTAATTTCAAAAATATAAGAAGAAAATGCAGATTTAAAAATAAAAGTAAATTAATTAGAGTAGCAAGATAGAAATTAAATTGAATTATTATTAAACGATCTTAATAAACCAGAAAATTAGTATTAAAAAACTTATTACTAATCTTTATTTTGGAGACTTTACAACTACTTACAAGCAGTGTAGTAAATTTCAACAGACTTATTTTAAATAAACTAAAATGCAGTTATTGAAACAAACTCAGAAAAGGTTTTAAATATAGTACAAAAAATTACAAACATTGGATCAGTTGCACTTTCACCAATACCAATTATTGGAGATGCTTTCCAAATTATAAATTCTGCCCTTGATTATGCAATCGATGAAAAGAATGTGAATAAATTTAATAAAAGAGTAAGAATTCTAAGCGAAATATTAATATTATTTGCAGTAAATCCATAAAAATTAGAAATTGAAGTGCAAATGGCAGCAATATCTTTAGGAAAATAACAATAGGTTAATATGCAAAAAAGAAAAGAAACAATTTTTAAAAATAGAGTGAACGATTTATTAGCAAAAGAAAGCAGTTCTTCAGAATTATTTAAGAATATTTACTGGGTTTGTGGAACAGAAGATGCATTAATCATTTTAAGCTATTTAGAAAAAAACTAAGAAAAAATATTAAAGGAATAACAGAAAAAATTAAGGGAGATATTTGAAGATGCAGTTAAATCATATTAGTATTTACCTTAAAAAATATCTGTGGATATCGGTTGTTCTTCAACATGTTAGATGATTTGATATAATTCATTCAAAATACAGCAAAAAATTAATTTTATCCTAATCATCAATTTGATTATATCTTTTATTAATATTATTCAATTGTTTAAAAAATTCTATTTTTAATAATATAACAAGTATTCAAAGTTTTTTTGAATGCTGACTATTGGTTCCAAAAATATCTGACTAAATTGAGATACCATTTAAGCATTTTAGATTTGAAACTTGTTATATAAGTAGAATAAACTTAGTATAGATAAAAAGCTATTTGGTAAAAGATTATTGTTTTAATTTAAATTGAATATTTTTATTTGATATAGATCAAAATTGAAACGGACTAATCAGATAATTAACAGAAAAGAAGAACATTTTTTTTTAAGGATGAAAGTAATTTCTAAATATATAAGGTTATAGAATCTTATTTATAAGAGAAACAAGAAAAAAATAATTTTTACCTAATTATTTTTATTTTAAATTTGACAATAAGATAAGGAGGATGGATCAACCAATAATTGAGATTTAACCATTTAGACTTTATTTATGGAATCAAATCTTGAAATTCTTAAGTCTTTGAATAATCTATTATGATAATCAACAAATACTTTGATATCAAATTTTGAGAAAAATTGATGTGTAACTTAAAGGATTAAAAAAATTATTATTTTGAAAATTAATAACGAAAATAATAGAGTTATTGTTTTTAGTTGCTCTTAATTTATCTTTTAAGCAAGTTAAGTATAATAATTATTAAACAATTCGAGAATAATACAATTCCCCTCTTTTAAAGAAATCATCTATAAGAAAGTAGTAATTATATTTAATATTTTTAGTCTCCAATAATATGACTACTCAACTTCTATCCTAATATACAATTGCTAAACAGAAGGAGTTTTAGTTCAATTATCAAGGTGCCGAATTATGAAAATGATTAAGTTCAAAAGGAAGTTGTTCATAAAAGATTATCGAGTCCTAATTATACCATTAAAAGTTTAGAATTACTTGAAAACAAATATTAACGGTTAAATTATTAAAATAAAATAAATAAATTGTTGTTTTACTAAGTTAAGATCAACTTATTAATTTTTTGTTTGGGGTTTGAGATGTAGATTCAAAAGCAATGTGACTAACCAATAAAGAACAAAGCTTGAATTTTTCCTGAATTAATACTAATTCGTTGAAGTCAAAAAAGAAATATCCATTGACTTCACCCTTTTTGGCTAATCAGCAGATTTGCTTTAAATATCACATAAATTAAATATTTACTTTTTTTTGCTTTCACAACAAAAAAAATCATGATTTATCGAAAATTTTTTTATTTTAACAAATTTGGATTTTTTTAAAATTAGAATAAGAATTATAGCATATCCAAAAAAATAATTGATATTTTTTTCAAATCATAATTGCCTTATTAGCATAAAAAGTAAAAAAAAAAATTAAGATTTCATCTGGATTAAAATAATTTAAAGAAGTTTTTTTAATTTTTAACTCTATTAAGAAAATTAAGGTCTTCCTAGTAATTTTTTTGATGACTAGGCAGTCCAAGTTTATAATTCTTCCAAATCTACTTAAGTATTAAAAAAAACAAGCATATTAATTGTCTTATTTTTATTAGAAATATAAATATTATCTATGGCTAACTATTTACTTGTATGAAGGTTGATTTTTGAAGAAAAATTTTATTAATAGCTCACTCCTTTTTTCTAACAATTAGTTATAATCTTAACAATCATGTATGAATTTATTTTTAAATCAAGAGTTTAATGATTCTATAAATTAATACCTTCTATTAGCATTAAAGTTATGAAAATATTGTTGAGGTCAAATAATAAATTTCTTAAAAACATTTAAACAGAGTTATTTAATTCGATTAATAAAATTTATTATTGATGAAAAAATAAACTAAATTAGAAATTTCAAATCTTGCTGGATGAAGTCAATTAACTGTTAAACTTTGGTTTTTGTGGGTCTTAAAATACCTAGATTTAGCTTCAATTGCTGATTGAAGTAAAGAAGAAATCAGTTAAATTCTTGAATTTCTATCTGATCCAAATATGTATATAAATTTTAGATAAATTTTTCTAACTAAAAAAAGAAAAATTTTGTAGAACACAAAGTCTTCATCTTTGAAAAATTTAATTGATTTTCTTTGAATTTCGTTGATTTGGCTGGTTGATTAGTTCCAAGAATTCAGATTTCTCGATCCAAGAAATCATGTGGAAAATTTTGATCTGGATATAAATTTCTCATTAAAATCATTTCAAGATTGATGGTTATTTCTTGTAATTAATTTAGGTGAGTTAAATTATTTATCAAAACTGTAAATCTTATGAATGAGATCATACTTGATTTAAACAAGTTTTTCAGATGAGCTTGATTATTATTGATGATTAAACTATCTTTTTAGTCATTATATTGTGAAATACTTTTTTATATTAATTAATAATAAAGAGTTATTGAAAGATAAGCTCGAACAGATAACTTTTTAAAATTATGAAACTTATTTATTAGTTCAAATTAATTTCTTTTAATCTAATCACCAAAGATCAATAATTGTAAATCTTATTAAATTTAACTTTTCATCCCAATCCTTGATAAGAAATATCAATATATCAATAAAAATTAGTTAAACCTAACATAACATCTTAATGATTTTAGAAGAATATAGTTGTTTAACGTTTCTTTTAATTTTATTACATAAAGATTTCATACTTTCTGTTAGCCTCTTCACTGAACTGATAGATTATATAATAGAAAACCATTAATATTTACATCTCAATAATATTTATTATAAAATTATTCCCTACATTAGATGCCATAAAATAAGGCAAAGATACTTTATTTGAAATTTTTTAAACTTAATTGTATTAAAAATCGGTAAAACTTTCATTACATGAGTAAAGCCTTGTTTAATCTGTATTTTGTTAAATTAAAACACATTTCTTTAAGTATTATAATTTTCAATTTTTTTATTAAATCAATTACTTAGAATATTCATGATAAATGTAAAAGCTCAAAAAAATAGTTAAACCATCTATAATAACATTTATAAGAATTCATTCTAAAGTTATACTATTTTAATTATTATTGTAAAATTTTAGAAAAAAAATAATTAAAGTACTTTTTTTGACTCAAATGAATTACTTTTTAAAGAAATTGATTATTATTTATCATTATCAAAATAATATATATTAAGCAGCGCAAACAGAAAATAAAAATCATATTTTAAATGATTCTCTTTCGCTAGGCTGATTTGAATCATCAAATCCAGAATCATTTTTTTGAGGTTCAACAAAGTAACCATTTGTTTGTCTATTAATTGATTTAAATTCAATTAATTTATTAGGAATAAAATTGAATGCCCCAGGATATTAGACTTCTAATAATTGCTTGGTTTCCTCTGAGACTTGAACTCTTCCTTTCTCTCCATTTGATTCCATTTTATTTGAAATCATAACATCTGCTCCATAAACATCATACCTAACTATTTCGGTTCCTAAAATTCCTGCAATAACTTTCCCCTAAGATTTAAAATATAATGATATACAGTATGTATTCCAATTCTCATATCTAATCCGTCAAATCCAATTATCTATCTTACATTTCTAATAATGTCAATCATTCCAAATCCCAATTCAACAACATTTTTAGCCTCTTATGCTGGATTTCTTTGTCTAATATCTATAACTCCCACTGCAACATAACAGTCTCCAATAGTATACAGCTTGTATGTATTTTAAGTTAAACATTTTTTATCAAATTCTGTGAATAGATTTCTTAACATATTAACAACTTACTCAGGTTCAACCTTACTAGAATATTCTGTAAATCCTGCTATATCAGCAAACAATAAGGTTGCTTCTTCTAACTATTCTACTAAAACCTCTCTTTAATTATTAGATAAAAATTGTTTTAAAATATGATTAGGTAGAAGGTATTTAACTAAGTTTTCGGATTAGCACTTTTTAATTTCAAGAGATCTTTTATTATTAAAGGTATTCAGATCTTAATAAAATATATTGTATTAAACAGAGAACATAAGAATGCCTTAATAAATTGTATAATATGCTACAGCCCAATCATTAAATTTGACAAGTACAATTATAATTTGAGCTACACAAAAGAATAATAAGAATGCTACTTTATGTTTAATTTGAACAATTGATAAAGAACAAAAGAAACATATCAATAGTATTCCTTCTGAGGCTTACAATTCGAACAATTCCTCACTTTTAAGGAGTACGAATTCCAATAAGATACTAAACAAAAGAATTATGTAAGTTGCAATAAAATATTAACCTTGGTAGAACTTGTGTTTTAATTTCTTATTTTATAATAATGCCAGAACCAATAATACTATAGTTGCGAATAATCGAATGGCTATTATTAAGAAGGGACTTTCTATGATAGATTATTAGACTAAAATAAAAAGAGTAAGAGTTTTTGCAAGATATTGTAAAAAATGCAAATATATAGTAATNTAATAACATTTATAAGAATTCATTCTAAAGTTATACTATTTTAATTATTATTGTAAAATTTTAGAAAAAAAATAATTAAAGTACTTTTTTTGACTCAAATGAATTACTTTTTAAAGAAATTGATTATTATTTATCATTATCAAAATAATATATATTAAGCAGCGCAAACAGAAAATAAAAATCATATTTTAAATGATTCTCTTTCGCTAGGCTGATTTGAATCATCAAATCCAGAATCATTTTTTTGAGGTTCAACAAAGTAACCATTTGTTTGTCTATTAATTGATTTAAATTCAATTAATTTATTAGGAATAAAATTGAATGCCCCAGGATATTAGACTTCTAATAATTGCTTGGTTTCCTCTGAGACTTGAACTCTTCCTTTCTCTCCATTTGATTCCATTTTATTTGAAATCATAACATCTGCTCCATAAACATCATACCTAACTATTTCGGTTCCTAAAATTCCTGCAATAACTTTCCCCTAAGATTTAAAATATAATGATATACAGTATGTATTCCAATTCTCATATCTAATCCGTCAAATCCAATTATCTATCTTACATTTCTAATAATGTCAATCATTCCAAATCCCAATTCAACAACATTTTTAGCCTCTTATGCTGGATTTCTTTGTCTAATATCTATAACTCCCACTGCAACATAACAGTCTCCAATAGTATACAGCTTGTATGTATTTTAAGTTAAACATTTTTTATCAAATTCTGTGAATAGATTTCTTAACATATTAACAACTTACTCAGGTTCAACCTTACTAGAATATTCTGTAAATCCTGCTATATCAGCAAACAATAAGGTTGCTTCTTCTAACTATTCTACTAAAACCTCTCTTTAATTATTAGATAAAAATTGTTTTAAAATATGATTAGGTAGAAGGTATTTAACTAAGTTTTCGGATTAGCACTTTTTAATTTCAAGAGATCTTTTATTATTAAAGGTATTCAGATCTTAATAAAATATATTGTATTAAACAGAGAACATAAGAATGCCTTAATAAATTGTATAATATGCTACAGCCCAATCATTAAATTTGACAAGTACAATTATAATTTGAGCTACACAAAAGAATAATAAGAATGCTACTTTATGTTTAATTTGAACAATTGATAAAGAACAAAAGAAACATATCAATAGTATTCCTTCTGAGGCTTACAATTCGAACAATTCCTCACTTTTAAGGAGTACGAATTCCAATAAGATACTAAACAAAAGAATTATGTAAGTTGCAATAAAATATTAACCTTGGTAGAACTTGTGTTTTAATTTCTTATTTTATAATAATGCCAGAACCAATAATACTATAGTTGCGAATAATCGAATGGCTATTATTAAGAAGGGACTTTCTATGATAGATTATTAGACTAAAATAAAAAGAGTAAGAGTTTTTGCAAGATATTGTAAAAAATGCAAATATATAGTAATAAATACTATATTTCTCCCTTCAGCATTTTATTCTATGAACTCTTTTGCTAATTAATATTGATGTTCCTTAAATCCAAGATATAATTTTTTCTTCTCTAATTGTAAACATTCACTTATCACATTACTATTGTCATCTTCTAAATAACCTTTAATTTTATCGAATTCAATATCATAATCTGGAAAATCATCAATCACATCTATTTACAGATCTCTTCTTAACTTTTATGAAATTTCAGATAATAGATTTGATTTCTCAAAGTATGATGCTAATTACTCTTTTTCCAATTGACTTACTTCTTAATCAGCCTCAATTTAAATATTTTAATTGCTGTTAAGTTTAATTTAACCTGCTGTTTGGTATTGTTAAGGCATTGATCGCATAAGTAAAGTTTATCTTGAATTAGCTTTTCTTTTAAATTGCTTCACAGGATCTTGCTATTATTATCGATTTGAGACATCTTAAGAGGAATCCTATTATGCTGGAATAGATTATTTAGATGAATGCTATTATATAATATCATTATTGGTGTTTGTGTTTTAGATATTATAGGTAACATTATCTTATAAGTTAAATTAGATGCTTTCTTATCTTCTCAACGAGTTTTGAGCAAATGATGAGGGTTATTTAGCAGAAGATGGTATATTTCCTTAAATTGAAGGTTGAGGTGAGAGTATATGATTATTGGATTCTTCACTTTTCAGAATAACTCCTCTTTTTTTTATATTCTTCTTTTCAGTATTTCTTTTAATTTCCTTACTCACTTAATATGTTATTAGTTCCCCTTTTCCTTTAGCAGCCACTTTCCTTTAAGTAAACTACAATTCAGGCATATTAATTTCTAAATATGCTTCATTCGATAGAGTGACTTATCCATCTTGTCCAGTTGAACAAACTCTACTAGTTGTATTAACAGTATCGCCAATCAAAGAGAATTGAGGTTTATGATGTCCTATCACTCCAGCTATCACTCTACCATAATGTATTCCTATTTTTATTGTCAAATGTCCAATCTGTCCATATTTAACTTTTCTTGTGTGATCCATCATTTCTAATGATAATTAAACAGCCTATTAAATACTCTAATATTGTTACTCTTTTAACACAATTTTAATTATAAAATTTAGTTCCTTAGTCTACAGCTTTTAGACCCCCTGCTGCCATATATGTTTTACCAACAGTTTCTATTTTTTGCATTCCATTTTAAGCACATAACTGATCAAATGATCGAAACAATCCATCTAAAATCTTCACAATATTTTCCTTTTCAACTGTAATCAAATCATCAAAACCACAAATATCGCAAAATAAAATTGACACATTCCCTTAGTTCTCACTTATCTCAAACATGCCCTCTAAATTATATTAAATAATAACAACTTACTTGCATTAATTCTATCCCTAATAAATTTTGGTAATAAAATTGATAAAACATTTGTCATTTTTGATGTTTCTTAATTCAAAGTCACATCAAGCATAAAATCTTCCCTTTCTAACCTAATCAATTTATATTGTAAAGCCATAAATAAGATACTAGTTGCGATAACAACTACTTCTCCGTTGATTAAAGAATAGTAAGTTATTTAAACTTAGGAAAATTCCATTATTGAGTATTTTTTTATGAATCCAATCACTGATAATATTCCAAGAATAAAATTGATTATAGGTAGGTGTATCCGTGAAAATAATAATACAACTATGTAACTTTAGGTGAGCAATAATTCATAAATCCCTTCTTGTTATGTTGTTCCTAAATCACAAATAAATTTGATAAGAAATCTGATGAAAACAACAGATAAATTGATGAAAAAGAAATGTTTAGGATATATATTTGAACAAACTAAAAATAGTAGGACAAACTATAAAGCTATTCCCAAAATGTAAGTTAAGAAATATAATTCAGTTGAAAAATGATCAGAATTATATACAACATATAATACTAAAGCAATTACTTCTAAAAAGACCAAAGTTATTATTAACTTATATCTCTCAAATTTTAACCAAAGAATTTTTGATAATCTTTTGAATTTCATTTCAGTATCTTTATTCATAAATTTAAGAGTAAATGGATTAACTTTATCTTAATTTACTTTTAAATTAGTTCCAGAAACCATTTCTTAAATTGATAGATCAAGTTCATCATTATTCCTTTTGAATATCTTACCTGCAATAACAGCAATTCTTTTAATTAAATTATGATATTTTCTGTAGTTGCTTTTATTGTTCTATGTATTTACTTTTTGAGAAATAATAGAAATTTCTTCATAGCATTAATCAGTTTTAATTAAACTTTAACAGAACAATGGTTGAATGGCTTCTATGCAACTACTTAAACATAATTATGCACCAATATAAAAGAAAAATACAAACCAAGAATGAGGATCAGTAAATAATTACTCAAAAGTTTCAATATTATCATCAAATGTAAATTTCACTGATAATAAAGACATGCCTAACCAACATAATAAATAGGCAAACACCAATATTATCCAAGCCAAAACTTTCTAGACTGAAGAGACACACAATTTTACCAAATCACTTCCTACTAACAATATCAAAAGCATTTATCTGATGATTCCAATTTGAGTGTTTCCATAAAATAATGAAAAGCAAGTCAACCACAGTAAAACTGCATCTAACAAGGCATTTCCATTAATTTTAAAAATAAATGACAATACTTTCTTTTTTTTGAATGTCTTAATGTTAATTTTAAATTATTCTTAATACATCTTTGAATCTCCATGATAATTTTCATTTAATTTAGAAATTAAGCTTGATATCTATTGCAAAAACAACATTAAACTTTAATAAACTGTCAACCAACTTCCTTCTACTAATTAATTATTCTATGAACAATTAGTGGAATAAATAAGAAATAGAGCATACAATATTAATAAAGATCGGTAGAATGAAAACACCAATAAATCATCATAGACCTCAGCAAATATTCTACTCTCAAAAAACATTAATCCACACAGATCTTCAAAACTATTTACACATATATCAGAAGTAGCCATTCTTTGTATATCTTTGATACCATGCTACCTTTTTAAAGGGTTTTCTAATATTTTATTCATTGATAATCTCTAAGTAAGTTTTCTTTTAGTACTCTATTTT